CCAACAGATGTAACGAGAAAGCGAGGGGGGGGGGGGGAACGGGTAAAACTAGTCTAAAAATACTTAAATGGATGCTTTGTTATGAAAATCGGGCCAAGTAAGGAACATACAGCAATAAAAACAGATTCTAATAAGTCACAACTCTTCTAATAAGTACAAAAATGGTGGTGGGGGAGAAAATGTATGCAAGATTGTGGTGGGGTTTCAGCACTGGCAGGTATAGGGTAAAAGGGGGAATTGAGTTGTGGATCTAAAGGGATGCAGTGTGAGGGCAGAGCTGTGTGAAACATTTGTACATACAGGCAAAAGCAAAGATTGGTGCATGAACATCTAAGTTTACATGATTACAAGCTCTCGCATGATACCTGCCTCCTGGGAGAAAGGAAGAGTTGGAGCTTTGTGGTGGTGGGTACTGTAGGCAAATTTGAGCCAAGATGAACTTGTAGGTAACACTGCAAGGGTTAAGTGCTCGTTTTGGTCTAAGCTAAAATAAATAAGACTCATCTGATCCTTGTGTGACAGACCGCCTGGTACCCCAACTGGTTACCTCCGTCAGAAATCAGCTTCCTCTCCGCTGGAACATTAATTCCAGTGTCCTCAGCCCAAACCTGCCTAATAATTATTGGGCTAGAAAGCTGAACTCCTCAAACATCAGACAACACCAATGTTGAAGTGGAAACCAGGAACTGGTTTATTGAAGAAAGCGCACAGTTTATACCTCACAGAATAAGATAAGAGTTCAGTGTTGCATTGAACAGTTCCCTCCCCCAGACAGCAGGGGGCCGCATTGGAATTCCCTAAGCACAGACACTCTTTGAACCTAATGGATGTCCTTAATTAGATAAGAGCTTGATCATCCCAAACTCCAGACAGCCTGCTGCCTATAATGAACACAGGGTCACTTAAATGTGTCAGGGGAAGCATGCAGTATTTTCACTCCACACATAAACCTAGGATAATAGTTCCATGTAACCCCAAGAGGTCTGAGGGGGGTCTCCATAGTTCTAGGTCCATAGTCAGTAGGAAGGAGGCTAGCCCTCAGGCTCCTCCAGCAGCCCCAGTGACGGTTCAGTCCATCACACCTTGGTCCTGTGACTGTAACCAATCACCTTTCTTGCCCTCCACTCTGGCGGTGGAATGTCCCTTAGCCTCCTAACGTCTAATACAACGGCATTATGTGTGGTGTTTCACGGGTCCATAGACTGCTGGAGCTTGGGGGGAGATGAGGCTGTAGGGACTAGTCTGGCAGCCAGATAGCACTGAGGATCACAAAAAATGAGCAGTGTGGAGGTAACCACTGCAAGGGTTAATGTTTAAATTGCCTGGAGTTTTTTTAATGCATTTTTTTTCTTTTACCATTTGTGCTGAGTATATATTAACATGGCCACATTTCTTTTCTTTTTTTCTTTGCCAGTGAGGGCGGTTTCTTTAAAGTGCACCTTACATTTCCGGTTGACTATCCTTTAAGGCCTCCTAAAATGAAATTTATCACAGAAATCTGGCATCCGAATGGTAAGTGCCGGTTCCAGATTGGTTTTCTGGTCCGTATTAAACATACTATCCACTTGCTGGCTATGTAATGCATTTACATATTATTGCTCATCTGTTTTTTAAATGTTTTAAATGTTCTAGCAGAAGGCCTTTAACCCCTTCGTGACTGACGACGTACAGTGTACGTCGCCAGCATCGGGGCTGTTTAAACAGACTCCCGGCGACTTTTGCCGCCGGGACTCTGTTTAAACTTGTAGAGCCGACTGTCGGCTTTACAACAGAAGCGATCCTGGCGACTTACCTGTCACCCCGTCATAAGAAAAATAAAACAAAGGCGTTCTGTAAAGAGGACATTGAACACCTACTTTTCCAACAGGGATTGAAATAAATCTCCTTTTTGCAGGGTGCCTTTGTTCTATTTTTCTTATTGGATCGACAAGGATGACTTTGCATTGATGTGGTTTATCTTGGTTTCTAGATCCACAATGTGTTTATACTGCAGATGCAGAGGAGAAATAACACTACTGAAAACCAATTTAAAGCAAATTCTCAAATTCTGAATTGCATTAAGCCCATCCATCCCCCTTTGCTGCTCACTAAGTAATGGTAATGAGTGCTAAAATCTTCCTAATAACCAGGACTAGGTCCTTCAGTGATTAGCAGCCCACTGTGTGAGATGGCACATTGACTGACCTACCTCTTGTAAGTGCTGTGGTGAGGGGTCTGTGAGATGCAGAGACACTGGCATTGAGTATCTTCACTCAATAACTTGTAGCTGTGTTTTTATTCTGAGTACCTGATCACAGGATTTTGCTTTTCACATAGTTAGATATTGAGGTGAATATTCACACAATTTACATGTGGCTTCTTAACCAGTTGACATCCGGGGTGTTAAACCCCCTTCCCATCCAGGCCATTTTTCAGTATTCAGCGCTGCGGTACTTTAACTGACATTTATTCCGTCATGCAGCGCTGTACTGAAATGAATTTTATACCCTTTTTTGGGGACAGATAGAGCTTTCTTTTGGTGGTATTTATTCACCACTGGGGGTTTTATTTTTTTTCTATATTAAGGAAAAATTACCGAAATTAATGGACCCGCTGATCGCCTATATGTGAAACACCCGGTAACGGGTGTGTGCATTGATCGGGTCTTTTCTGCCCGTGCGTGCCCGCTAGGGGGCGCGCGCGAGCAGAAAAAAATTGCCGTCTGGTGACGGCAACCCGCAGATGCAGCAGTGCCGTCCGTCCGTTTTTTTACTACGGGCGGACGGCAAGAGGTTAAAGTGGGCCTTTACCCCCTCTTTCACTTCAAATCCCAGCTACATGCAGCTCTGCTGATTTTTTAAATCGTCTTGCATTCATTAGTTAAACTTGTTTTTAATTTACTTACAAATAGAGTTCATCTACTTTCTGGTCCAGTTATGGCAGAAATGATGCAAGTGCCAATTCTCATCTGTAATCTCATGAGATCTCAGGGAAATGCATTTCCCCCCTGAGATGATGTGCATGTTCGCATGTCCTAGTCACATGTGCATGAGTTCCAGGAAGTAAATAGGGCCTCTGTCCGAAGCCTGGGGAAGAAAAGAGAAATGGGGTATGCAAAGAATAAAAAGCCAGCAACTATGTTTGTAGATTGTCATTACTAAACATTTCTAAAGTTTTATTTTGTTTTAAAGACATGGGTAAAGGTCCACTTTTAACTCGTTTTTAATAAACTAACATCGACCTGAATCAATGGGCAGTTGTGCACCATGTCTACAGTAAGGACAGGTATCTAATTGCTAGCAAATTCCTGCCTTGTCCCTCCCCTTCAGTCACTCCTGGAGTCTTTTTGGAAAATGTCAGTTGTCATTCTGCTTTCATGCAGATCCAAAGGCTGCGAGTCTTCACCAATTGCATGTTTATTCTGTGAGAGCCACAGTTGTAGTATATCTGTTCTCTTTTCCCATCCTAGGAATTGGGATGGGGAGGTGTGTTTTTTTTTTTTGGCATACTTATTCTAGTTCCACAAGTGTTTTTTTGTTTTATTTTTATTTTTTTTTGTCATGTAGACTATGGGAACTAAAAGGGTTTCCGTCATATGTTTTTGTAATGGAATGTCTTTGGGAAAAGGAGTACAAAACATTTATACATATGACTCTTATGTATACACCCTGGTTATGATTCCTGAAAGTTTGTTAAAAATGAAATGAAGGAGTTTTATTCCTGAAACAAAAAAATGTTTGTCTTGGGTTTCACTTATTAGAATTTAAAAAAATGTGCAGTTTCTAATCTTCTGCTTTGTCTTGCTGCCAGTTGCAAAGAATGGAGATGTCTGTATATCCATCCTCCATGAGCCAGGTGAAGATAAGTTTGGCTATGAAAAACCTGAAGAGCGCTGGTTGCCTATACACACAGTGGAGACCATCATGATTAGTGTTATTTCTATGCTTGCTGACCCAAACAGTGATTCTCCAGCCAATGTAGATGCTGCCGTAAGTATGTGTTTCTTGCCAATGGGAATATAAAATCTGCTGAAACAGGTTTACTATGACTGCTAAATTAGAACACCAGGAACATTTTATTTTTTTTGGAAACACAATCAGTCAAATAAGTGATCTCTAATGAAGACTATCCTAGGTCCAGATCACTGCAGTTTACTGTACAAATTATTGCCTCATTGATGCCAGATACTACACACAGCTCTCCTTTTCCAGCACTGCAATGGAGTTCCAGCTCCAGTGAAGGGATTCCTTGTTCACCCTCCCTTTCCTCTCCCCTTAAACATTCACAAAACTCCCTGTGTTCTGTTAATGGACATGAGGAGAGGGGCAGGTAAATGACAGGGTATCCCCTTGTCCATTCACAGAACACCTTGCATTCTAGAAAAAGAAGGTCCTGTATAGTGTTTGAAGGTATATCTGAACCCAAAAACTAAAAATATTTCAGCTTGCCAGTCCATTTTACTTTCACTTGGTGGTCCTGCCCATAACACACTGCCGGTCCAAGGCACATTGACTGTACGGTCTCTTGAGGTTTACATACACTTCTTTTTTTTTTTTTTTTTTTTCATGGAGGAACATCAACCTCATGGAGAACAGTGGGGGTGTGAAGTTGCAGGTCTCAGTCTCTACAGTAACTTGAGCTGGCAGCTGGAAAAGTTTATAGATTAACGCACACATTTTAGGTGTATCATTTTTAAAGTAGCGAATGTGACCTTTTCGAACATACACTGCATGCGACTCAATCACTGTAAAACGCATGAACCAAGAAGATGAACTTGCAGTGAATTTAACATTTACTGTTTTATAAATATACCCCTTACATCAGTATATTGTATTATCTAAAACTAATGTTTGGGTTTTTCATATTTTATACAAAATTTAAAAAAAATCATGCATGAGGCATGTAATAAAATAAATCTATCAATATAATACCTAAATACATGTCTAAACTCATCTTCTCACACCATCCCAAATCAGCATGAACCTAGGATACCTTTTTTAAAATGTCTTTCCTGCACATAATTTAGGGGCAAATAGCCTTTCTGCTAGTGAAGTGATATTACTGATCTTGATTTGTCCCTTTACAAATGAAAGAATCTGTCAAATCCTCCAAATGCTTTGTTTCATGTGGAGAAGCAAATTTTGTATCTACTCTTGCTTTTCAGAAAGAGTGGAGGGATGACCCCAATGGTGAATTCAAGAGGAAAGTTGCTCGCTGTGTTAGAAAAAGTCAAGAAATGGCATTTGAGTGAACTAGTAAGTCTGCATATTTTGAATTCTCTTAAAGCCTAACTGACACTTAATTGGAAATTGCACACACCCTTTTTTAATAGTCGGCTAAAACCATACACCAATTAAGGGATAATATTAGTAGACATGCGTTGCAGAAGACATATAGAGGAGCTGGAAGTTTCACACCCATAAGTCTAGTATGCCGGCTGCCTAGTATGCCGGCTGCCTGTTTTTCCTGAAGACTACAGGGTGCTGTCTGCGACGAGATCCCTCCATTTGTGTTTACCTGTGGCGGTTCATGCTTGACAACCAATCCCTTGTTTGTATTTGAAGCAGTTTTTCCACTATATTCTCGCTTCCCTGACTGACGGTGAAGACACATATGACGCATATCTCCCATAGAATTGTCTCTCTCCCCTGAAGAAGCCCTTTCGGGGCGAACATGTAGGGACTTACAGGAGCGTTTATACCATTCTGATAACAAACAACCATATACATCGTAACTGCACGGTATTGTCACCATTCGGTGAACCTGCATTTGTAAAAGCATTTTTACTGATTATTTTGTATTCCGTTTTTTTATCTTAAATAATGTATACAACGATTTATTGAATAAATGTACTTCTAAGATTTTTATACACGAGGTCTGGACTTGTTTCTTAAAAGCCCCCTTTTTTTCTTTTCCCCTCTGGGTCCTCGCACACCCCACTGTAAAAATACCCTTCCTTTTTTTTTTTCTTGCATTTAAAACCATACACCATACACCTTACAACCATCGCAAGACTTTTGTCTTGCGATGGTTTTAAGGTAATTTAAAAAACATACGATCTGCCCATACTTGGACAGGCATATCGTACTTGCGATGATCGCAAGCCGGCCCCACTGAGGGGCAGGCTTCCGATGACTGCAATGCTGAACGGACAGTGTGCGCTTGCGGCATTTGTCTTACGAGCAGGCCACAAACCCGCCGAAAATCGTACGATTCTTGGCGGGTTTTCAAACATGCTTGTAAGACGAGACGCGCGACCGCACAGTAGAAACGGTCGCACGCCTTCCATACACCTGCCGATTTATCGTATGATCGCAGGATTTCCCGCGTTTATCGTACAATAATCAGCAGGTGTATGGGCACCTTTACTCCAATCCACATAATCTGTTAACACAACCAGGTTTTGATTGCATTTGCATAATTGGAGTCCAGGAGGTGTTAACCTGCTCAGAGGTGTTAAGACAGCATTGTATGTGGCAGAAACATACAGCAAGTCCTGTTGCCTTGACTTTTTTATTTTTTTTCAAATATCTAAGAAATAGTCAACAGGTCTATGGTGTGAAAGTTCACAAGCTCTAATTGCTGCAGTCTCTATGCAGTGCTCCTACCAATTTTTTAGCACCAAGTTTCGACATATGGAGTAATGCCCTGTGTTTTCCCCAGTCATCTTCCAGGACAGCCATCGAGATATAGGCTCCGCCTGCCTGCAACAGGAAACACATCAACCACATTACCTCTTGCGTAAAGATTTCTATAATTACCTGCACTTGTAAAAAGGGAATTTATCAAGCACAGCTACAACTGGTATACTTTAAACTACTGGCTTTTTAAATGTGTATTGCGCTATACTGATGAACATTTCTTTTCTTTCAGTGCATTAAAAGAAACCTGTCTCCATCAGATGAGCAATAGCATTTACAGGCAGAAGCAGAATCCTGCTGATGGCGTGTGGCATCTCACTGACCTCTGTTCCAGCCCCAAGTGGACAGTTTACTGTTTAAGAAATTATAGGATAGAATTCTGTTTTAACTGCAAAACTGCAGACTGATCTTCAATCCTTATCGGGATCCTTATTTATTCAGATATATATTTTTGCATATGTCTTTTTATAAAGGTGAAATTTGCTTTCTTTACTGCACTAACCCTTCTATTAGGTAAATCTGTCTCTGGCAGTACCATATCCATTCAACACATGGAAAATAGGGCTTATTTCATCTAGTGTTTCAACAACAACAACAAATATCACTGTGCACTGCTTGGCAAGGTTTAAATCAGCCAGAAATTGAATGCTAGACTATTTTATACTTTGGCTTTTGCTGCTGCACATGATTTGAGCATTGCAGAGATTGACTTCAACCAGGATGAGCTATGGGCTGCACTTGGACATGTTGGTAGTCCATGCTTTGTTTAAATTTTTTTTTAACCCATGTTTACGCAGTAGAATGTTCTTTTGTGTTTTTTGTCTTGTGAAGCATTTATTTGGTTACAAAATTAAACTATTTTTGAGATGTTTTGATAAGCCGAGTAATGTTTTGCTTTTTACATCTTGTATTTCTAAAAGTGTGTGAAGCAGGTTAAAAATTCAGCTTCATACATTGTTTTGTTTTTGGTACTTTTCTTGGTGATCACACAGGCACTGAACGGACTCTCTAAATGAAAATCTTACAGAGTTCAACTGATTAACCTTTCCCCATTGTACTAAGGTGTTCTTATCCATGAATTGGGCAATGATTTGTTTTAAGTCACTAGGGGAGGTCACAGAACAAGATTGTGGACTATGAGGAGTAAAAACCTCAGGTTGGTCTTTTCATTCTGACTTTCTTTCAGAAAAGCCACTTAAAACCAAAAATCAATTTATAGTCGATTTGTAAAGTTAGCTGAAAAAAAGCTGATGGGGTATCCATCTGTGTTCCAGTTGACACAAGAATCTACTATCAGGCCAGTCCATCAGGAAATTCCTTGCTAATGTTATTGGGGCCCGTCCCTATCTCTCCAGACTTTTTTTGTGATTAGCCATCAGGCTATATGCTGCCTTGAGGATATGTTTCCTCCTTTTGTTTTCACTTGAGGCTGTAACTGGATGGGCTCTTAAGGGGGATTAAGGCCATTCATTTCTTCTGAACTTGCTTACATTTTTTTTTAATATATGGGTTTTTGTGCATTTGATGGGGAAACACTCCTTTTTTATTTTTATTTATGCTCAGCCCATACAGTAGAGTGAAAACTGCCATTTTAAAAGCTCTGGAGTGATGTAGCACTTTTATAATTTTTTTTTTTTTACTTGCAGTGACCTAGTTCTAAAGTGTCTCAGCCTTTTTCTCCTGTGGTTCTCACATTGTGTGCCTCAGAAGCAGCTCTCCACTCAGTGCTCCTGCAGCCTGTGGGACTTGAAGGCATTGCTGCCTTTTGGGGGTTTTATTGCCCAGCTGCAGGACTGTGGCCAAACTCCTATGTGCTAAAGGCTAACTTAGTTTTGGTCTGTGAGTATTTCTAGGGGAAAGGTTACCTTCCTTGCTTCATATAGACCCCAGTTGGATCTGCATGCATCAATAGTTTTTCACACTCCCTGGTTCATAATTTTCTCATTCCCTTCCTTCCAATTGCAAGGGCTTTAAACACGCACTTCCCCCTTCCCCAGCAGCATCTGACGTAGGGATGCCTAATAACTCTGTTGGGATCCTCCAAAAGACTCATTGCATGTGGAGTCTCCCCCTTCCTTTACCACCACCACCTGAATATCAGTCAGCAGTTGCTTCAAGACAGAAGGCAACTGTTTCTGTCTAAGCAGGGCTGTGTTTGTACTTAACAGATTGGAAGAGTTACTGTGTTCCTTCCCCCAACTAAATTTGGGCTTGCTTCTCATAGACCTAAATATTCAACTAAATGTGTTTCATCACACTGTTTTAACTACGAAGAGAAGACCCCAAGACCAATAATGCCAGCCCCTAATTGGTTCCTTGTCACGGAACGGTCTACTCAATCTGTCTCTCACCTCAACAAAGGTCTGGTCATTCCTATAGAAGATGTTCTGACTTTTTTAAGGACCACATTGCCAAGAAGCAATTTCTCCATCTTTTTCTTGGCACAATGTTTCACCCCATTCTTGCCTCTGCACTAATTTCCCACTCAATGGGGATGATTGATTTTCAACAAAGGATCAAAGATTTTTGTTAAAGGAGTACTATGGGGTTAAGGCTTTTCCCCATAATTCTCCGGGTAACGGGAGGACACAAACTAGCGTCCTCCTGTCCCCCTAGGCTCAGTATACCGCGAGCTGCTGCTCGCGGTATACTGAGAGGCTGAAGCGGATCCCGACAATTGTGCTGGGATCCGCCCAGCTGCGTGACTGACAGCTGGCTCTGCCTATCTAGAGGCAGAGCCAGCTGTACCCGCCCCGTCCCCTGTCCGTTCTGCCAGTCAGCGCTGGGGGAGGGGGGAATCCAGCCCCTTCCCTGTCACAGCAGAGAGCCGTGACAGGATCAAGAGGGGAGCGAACGCCGGTATGTGTTTGCTCACCTCCCGATCTACTGAGCCGACCTGTGACAATCTCATTGTCACAGGTTGGCTAGAACAGGTGAGTGAAAAGCACTCACCTCATAGTTCTTTTTTAAATGGTGAAGGTGGTTTTTGATGAGGAAACTCTATTCATTCCAAACTTGAGTGTTAAAATCAAGAGACATTTTGAATGGCATTCAACAAATCTCTGATGGCATTATCAAACGTTTTTGGCAATGGTTTTTGCATGAAAGGTTGTACAAAACTGTGTACATGGCTTTAGAGGAGCTATGGAGATCCTTTGGGCACCTTTAGGCAGGACATGAAATGAGTTGCAAGGCTGTGGAGAAGAGCTGGCTCTTGCTTGGTTTGCGATGATAGAACATTGCACTTTTGACAGTTGTATCCATAAGTGTCCCCAGTGTAAGACTCCCTCTCACCTCTTCCGGTGACTGCTGTAAAATGTTCAATTCCCCCTTACTTTCTTGTGTTCATCTACTCCATAGAAAACTAGAAAATGTTTTGTCTAGAGTTCAGATTGAAATTCTCTCTCCAAATAGGCAGCATGGAGTAAAATGATTACAGGTCTTTACTCTGCATAAGACTATTTTCTGTCTACGCTATAGCCACATATTTCCTATTGTGGTACCGGTTTCATACAAACTTTAACAGTATGGTGGCTGTTTGTTAGCATCACATTCTAAAACTAAGATACACAGAAGGTATTTCAGTAATGTCAATGAAATCCACTAAAGCAGAACAACTAGAATACTGTGCAAGGTTCTATGATCAAACCTTTAACCCTTTCGCTGCCAAGGACGTATGGCATACGGACCTACAAAAGTGCTTCCAGCTGGCCAGCTCAGTATGCCATACGGACCTAGCATTTACAGTTCCACTATAAGCTGATGGTCGCTTTAGCGACCATCAGCTTATAGTAGAACTGTTTAGCAGACTGTCCCCTTTAAATTAATAGCTGTCATCAGCGGCTCACAAGCCGCTGATGACTGCTATTATCAAGAATACCCGCCGG